GTACTAAAATATAGAGTGTTCCATTTAAAAATAACAAAATTCTGTCGCATACCCCATTAACAGAGCACCCTGTACCTATATTTAAAATTATTTTTAAGTAATGCACCTTAGAGAATCAAACAACTTTGAATTTTTATTTTTTTTTCTTGCATCACCCTGTCAGAAGATATCGTCCGATATCGCACTAAGTGGACACCCTGTATAACTATTTTGATGGCATTGGGAAACATTTTTACCCGAAGCGTGTTTTTTAAACAACTTTCAAATGCAAATTTGGGCGTGGCACCCCAAAAAAAAAATCGCCTCCGGCGGTACGTTGCGACACTTGATAATTTTCCCGTCATCCATTACCCCCCCCCAGAAAATCTTGTATGGACCGCCACTGGATGTACCACTGAAATAAAAAGGCCGGCCTCATACGCTCAACAGAATAAACGTATGCAGATTCGTCGAAGTTCGACTCCAATATGTAAAAAAAATATAGACATACGTGAACTGCGATTTGATTCCAATTAATTGAACCAAAAATAGAACTTCGAGGCTGCAGGATTTCAAAAAGAAATCCATTGAATCATTGAACAATGCAAGAGTAGGAAAGGAAAGAGAACGAGCAGTGGGCGTCCAGATTTTCCGAGAAGCGAAAACAGAAAAAGAATAAAGAAGAAGGCACTAATAATATACCAAATCAATAAAACTAAATATTTATTCCAAAGAATTTTATACTTACTTGGAATGTGAATTGTATCTATCTGTACAATTTTAACTTTCGAAGTTTATTAAAAAATAGGAATTATTAACTGAAAATGAAAATTTATAGAAATTCCCAGAATCCGTTATCCGTTTCTACATGGCAAATTTCAAAAATAATGGGATTCAATTCAAGACTTTCACGAGCAAATTATGATGAACCCTTCTTCTCCAGCGGCGGTTTTGATTATCATGATTCATGATTATTAAGGGAAATTAATTTGTAGATCGTCTTTTTTGTGTCGAACCACCTGCTTTATTTATTGTTACCACTCGAACTACTCCATCTTGATCCTGATGAATGTTTAGTATTGTCCCAAAAGGCCATTGTTTTCGGCTTATAATTTCTTCTTTGATTAGGCCTATTGTTTCCATTCGGGAACGGTTGGCTCTATTTTCATGGATATGCTAGTTTTGGATTGCATCTCATTGTTTCTTGCTTGTTTCCATCAGATGCTGATTCTTCTAGCCTAAGTTTCGATTTGATTTAGGTAAGGGTGTCTTTCAAATTCTGTATTTTGAAGTTTCTAATTTTTATCCGTTTCTCTTGGATGCTGAAGGCGGAAGGTTCAGATTGGATTGTTGATACGGCCTTTGGGCATGTTTACTTGTCGAATTTGGCAAACAGGTGTTGGGCATACTGCTTTGGTGAAGTTCCAATGTTTCTTGTGGTTTTTTATTTATATCATTGCGGCCTCGTTTTTCTGGATTGTTTGTAAAATCACATCCAGATTGGCCATGTGTTTTTAAATAAAGGGTCTATCAGGTTTGACTACAAATATTTTAACACGTGAAAATATGGCCCATTTTGAACAAAAAAGTTCATACAACATGGGGTCTAAAATATTTTCAAGAAAAGGGCCCCTGAAGTTTTGACATTTTTTGACGAATATTTGAAAGATAATGAAAATTGTAATCGTTATGAGATCTGATAAAATTATCCACATTTAATTATTAAGTAGGTAGTTATGCATTTTTAGTCACAAACATTAATTAAAAAATTTGAAAAAATAACATCACAATACAATATTACTCGTAATTCGGTTTCTAAAGATCTGGCAATATAGCAAAAAAAAAAATAGGTGGTTCAGGTAGTTGAACCGATAATTATTGATTATTGATTTGTGAGTTACTTGAAGTATTGAAAACGCGCATAATTCATTATTTTTTAAAAATCAAATGTTTTCATTTACAACGTCGAATATGCGGATATGTTACTTGTTTCCGGAGAATCTTTACAGAATGCTCATTTAGCCACCAGAATGTACAAGGAGAGATTTCCTCATAGGAGGGCACCTAACGAGAGAACATTTTGTGTCCGTTTTGGAAAGATACGGGAAGTGTAGGTCTGCAAAATGTTAATCGGGTACCTGCAAGACAAATGATACCGCCGATGAGGAACAGATTTTAGCGATAGTTGAGGATAGTTCTGGAATAAGCACTCGATCCATTGCCCGAGAAGTAGGATATTTCCACTCAGCAGACAAAATTTGCTTTGCCTGTATCATGTAAAGCGTGTACAGGCATTGTCTTCTGGAGATTTTCAAGGCCGACTCCATTTTTATGACTTGTTGATCCAAAAAATCCAAAGATATCTGAATTGAGTGTTGCTTTATAAGAGATGGAATTTTAAATTAAATCACAACACTCACACCAAGTGCCTCGTCTTTTGGGTCCTACGGTGAGTAAGGTACAAGCTCTCAGTCCATGTCCTCGTCTTCCGAAATTGGGCAAAAGTGTAAGCCTACGTCTTCGTCTTTACGTCTTTGGTAAGGGGTGACACGGCTCTTCATTCCCAACAATACAATTGCAGTAATTGCATGCGTCTTGCGTCTTTATCGCCTTTCCCCACACAACTTCTGACTAGACTTCTTGACTGATGAATGACGAATTGAATGACTGACTTAATAGAATGACCACTCGCCATACCTGTACTCTCTAGTACACATTCTCTCCAACTTTACGCCTTTTCTCGCATGCACCTGCCATTGTTCTTTTCAAAGGGACCTGCCTCTGGCAAATTGTCAGAGATTGTCAGAGATGTGTTTACTTTCTAAAAACTGCACCACTAATAATATTGACACCTACATTTATAAGCACTTGAAAATGGTTTTTAACCGAAACGCGTCGGGCATTTTATTAATTTAATTAATAAATAAGTGTTTTGTGGAGATTTGGTCCTATTATTCAAATTATGAGTCGACTTTCGACTTAACCCTGAAGCTGAACTAAAAAAATTAAGAATAAATATCTGTAAAATGTTGTCACATGTTAACATTTTTCTAAATTCAAATTCTGCAATAACTCCGAAAATACTAAAAATTGACCCATGGTCAATAGGACAGTTTTAGCCTGAAATGGGCCATATCATCACTTGTTTACTTTGTACTCAAACCTGATACACCCTGTATTATAGACCTCGGTTTCGCTTTCTACTGCGTTTTATTGCAGTTCCTAAAAAGTTGAATAATCCCTGATTTTTATTGTTCTCGTGCCATATGGTCAAGTTCCTCTTTGATGGTGGTGTTTGACAGGCGGCTGGACTGACTAGATGACTATTTATTCTAGATGGACATACGGTGGTTTGTTAATGTAGACTGGCGTTGATGGCTACGGCGAGTCTTCTTAACTGGCTATGTGGGTAGACGGACGGAGAATCTTCTTAACTGGCCGTATGGATGGTCGGACGTTGTGAACGCACTTTAGTGTGTGTACTGATGTACATTGTGAATGGACGGCAAGTCTTCTTTTTGCTGGGCAGACGAACGGACTGTCCTTAATGTGGTTGTCTTCTTTTGCACGGACAACTGGACGGTATTTTCTCTGCAGCCGGTTTCCTGTTCGAAGCAGCAATGTTCAGGCTTCTGCCTAAAGATTACACCAGAACGGCTTGAGTTAAGCAGCGGAACTGTGGGAACTTTGAGTGTACTGTCATAGCAATTAGCATCAACCTCTCTCTCTGTTATTGTCAAGGCGATATTGGCATAGTAAATAGTAGTAAGTGATAATTGAGAGACCCCTGGTTGAATCTGATTTATTTAGCTTATTGTGATTGTGATTATAATGTTAACAACGAATTGCTTTCTAGAACGATTGATATCTATTTGAATCAGAGATTTCTTAAAACTTTGTAGCATCCTTGATAAAGTCTAATGTTAAATGCTAAAATTATTTCCAATGATATTTCACACTGGGTAGGTTCATGTTCATAATTAGACAAGTTGCGACGGGGTGAGCTCAAAAGTTTGTTAATTTGGTTCTTCCTCGAAATTGCGCATATACCTAAATTTTGGATCTTTTTGATATATTCTGTTTCGTTTCCGTTAGGAGCATAGGTAAAGGCAAAAAAGGGTCGCTGGCCATGAAGCAATCATAAACTATAGGCGACCATAACACCCAGGTAACTATAGGTGAGGTTATTATCTGATGGCAGTTCAATATGAATTTTGCACTTGTAAGTTCTGTATGCATAGTGTGTGTTTTTATAGTAAAAATGTCATCGGTCTTCAATCCGGTAAAATATAAGGGCGTTCTTGATTCCAAAGCCAGGAATGTGAATGATGCACTTCTACATCAGATGTCTTCAAGTACTATCCGATGTGTAGTATCCACATGTACCAATATGACAGGGATCAGTGGAATTAACAATCTTTAAACATCTTAGCGGAAGAAAAAGTGATAACTGTGTGAGATTGTCTAAAAGCTCGCCCGAAAGAAAGCCGTTTAGAAGTTGACGAACTAGCAAGAAGTATAATGGGAAGTGTATTGGTGAAATACTGTTTTTGACCCTTTATTTGTGTGTTTAAATTTATAATGAGGTTATGTGCTCTTAACGAAAAGGAAATAGAGTATAGTATTTTCCATAGATATTATCCATTGCTTGTTTCCAAATTGTCACGCTATATGTGAACAGATATTTGTTGAGGTACCAAAAATTTTAATACATATCTATTTTGAAACCATCATAGTTGAATTGACGGGTCCTACTGTCCTAGTCATTCAGGCGGGATCATATTATCCAATGATGTTTGTCTCAATAATTGAATTGTGTGTTCAAGTAAACAAGAAAGTATACATCTGTCTCAATTTCTTCTCGTCACGAATTCTATTGGCTAGTAAAAAAGAGTGGGTATGAGAAGGTGCCGGATGCACTCCTGGCTAGAGAATAGCGCTCAGCGCCGCGTCGTGGCGTCTAAAGGCGGCTGTGCCGTCGTAACGCGATCGCATCGCGTCGCTTATCCTGTCGGTCAGCGTCGACGGCTGTGGCGGCGCAACGCGAGTGAGCGAGAGCGAGCGCCACGGACGGTCGCAAGCTCGATTGTTCGACGACGCGACCGAGGCTCTAGACACTCCCGATTTCGATAAAATGGGGCCCAAGCGCCCAAATCGGGCCCCATCAGTGAGTGAGTGCCAGTGCAGACGACCCAAGGCGCCCCGCTAGCCCCCCAGGTACCCATTGGCATGGGCCTCAGCGTGGCGCCCACGTGTGCCCGCGGCTCTCTTCATGGCCATTGATAAAGGTAACGAACGTAGTGACGTCACCGCCCAACCTAGTCAGCTTACCTCTATCTATACATTTTGATGCATATATTACAAAATTTTGAGTCAAAATCTGACATGGGAAGATCTGGTTTTATTTAGCCTATCCATCACATTTTGACATCGAAAAGTGATTTATGTTTGGCATATCTATGTACAAAACAAAGCTTTTTTTCCCACTATGGATTATTTCTCGAATTACATATCATACATTGTACACCTTACTTCAAAAGTCTTTTGGTACAGCTTTACTTCATAATAAAAAACATAGCATTTCACAATATCCGGCTATTGAAGCATGATTTCCATTCAATGCACCCGATTACCATACTACATAATTAAATAATTCAATTCATGTCATATTAACAGCCTCTTTCCCTTTGCGATAAAATAACTTCAATTAGTTTGTATAAATTGAGTGCATCGTACTATTAACATACCCATTAAAAAATTACGTCCAGACACATGTTCCATTAAATGCAAAATTGGAATAAAAATTCCCATTTTATTATCCCGACAAAAACCATTTTTGAGTAACCTCGTTATTTCATTCACGTGAAATGCAAACGGTAAACAAAGGGGTTTAATGAACTTTTGGGGGTTCATATTCAAGCAAGACTTTTTTAGAATGCAAATGGAGAATGGCTCGTCCAATCCGGTTAGTTATTAAAAATCAGCTCTGATCGTGGTTTCTCACGAAACGTTCTTCTAAAAAAATGAAACTGACTTTTCGCATAAAGACTCATATATGGAAAAACAATATAAAAAAATTGTAAAAAATTCGACATAACATGATATCATAGACATGGGCATGAGGTATAAGGTTCAACAAAATTAGAAACTGGACAAGTGTAAATATGTTAGCTTTTCGTGGAAACCCTGTCATTGTTTGATGAATAACCTTATAATCCACACGTGTGGGAAGCGGTAATGTCAATCTCAGATCTTCTCAATTCGAACCCCCCACCCCAAACAGTGCATTTGGCTGCACGCGAAGCAGCAACAGGCAACAGAATGCAAAACTCACCCCGTCAAAGTGGTTTTATTTTTGCTGGTACCTACAGTGGATGAACAAAGGTAAAAACTCGAACATACCTTTGCATTTTTACTTCCGCTTTGTTTTTTTAATATGTGTAGATGTATTAAATAAGATCAGTGATCTTTATAACTTATTATTTTGTGCAGTTAACTAGAGTTTATTGTTTCAACCTACCCCATACCTTCTTTTTATTGTCTTTTATATGGTGTGTTTACAATTATTGTAAAAACCAGCTTAAAAATGTGACCCTTCTGTGTTGATTTTATTAGTTTATAATTTTGTTTATACAGAAATTAATATGTGTGTTCATTGAAATTTTAACTGAGTGATAAAGTGCTAGATGCTTCTTTGTTTAGTTAAATATTGCATGTGTAGATCTATTGATTTGTTTTATAATTTTTTTTTTATTTCCATCACATTTATGTACCTGCCTACCTATATTAGAATATTTTGCGTATGTTATAAGTCTATTGTCATGTATATTGGCAGTTTTTCTTTTTTCAAAAGTAATTAACAATGAAGGTATTACATAATTAATATTAATAAAAGTCGTTTAGTCGATTTTTGACCTAAAAGAAGATTTTGCAATAGAAACTAACATTTCAGTGTCCATGATAAGATAAGATAAGATAATAAGATATTTTTGTTTTGCTATTATACACAGAAAATATTTACACTCGTCGAAATATAAGATATTTAACAACAACTGTTTTTCTTTTTTTTTAGCACTACTCAGGTTACTTTTTCAATTTGTAAAATCGTAAATTTAGAATTCAGTGACACTATCTTAGGAACTCCAAGCCAATTTTTTATCTATAATTTCAGTGTTAGAAATGAGACATTTTTTTTGTAAGAGTCTTCTGCGGTGTGTTCGATATTTCTAAGTGTACATCAGAAATAGTGTTGATATGATAGTTGCCGGTGCCCTAGTGTTCAAATCCATGTTCAAAATCATCAAAGATGAAACACTTTGTCGACAAAGTTAAACTAACCCAGAATTAGCAAAATACATATATGTTACAATACAATACACGAAATAATAACATCGAGTGTTCAAAAATACATAATACAAACGACCAAACACACATGAAGAGAAACAAAACAACAACTCATAAACTGGGACAAAATTTAAAATTATCATAACACAAAAATAAGTCGCAGTGTGAATTCTTCAAAGTCTATCTTGGAAGTATTTATCAAGGCAGTAGGAAGTCTTTTTCAAGCAGCAGACATTTGAAGGTATTTTTTTGATGTGCTGTATTGTATTACTTAGGTCATCCCTATTGGAATGAAAATTTGTTCTACATGAATCCTTTTTTCTCAAAATCAGTGCGAAGGAGATGCACTTTGAGAAATCCAGACGGTAACCCTCTACCTCCCCTGAGATCCTAAACGATTACTTTGTAAATGCGGCAAAAAAATTGATGACTACTATAGCTTCTTCTCGCGATTCGCTTTCATTTCTTACTAATACCAATATGAGTTTACACAGTTTTTTTCTAACACCCGTAGAAACACCAGAGCTTTGCAGGACAATATTAAAGGCATCGAACAGAAATTGTCATCAGGGACTGACTGACTCATTTTAAAAATGTTTTTTTAATTTAGCGGAATTTACATTAAATCTCCTCACTGCTTTAATGAATAAATCTTCTGGACAAAAAAGTGTTCTCAGATTGCCTCGAAACGGCTATAATTATTCTTCTGCACAAGGGTGGTGATAAGGACCAAGATTCGAACTATCTCCCCACTTTATCCAAAATTATTGAAAGATTGATTAAAAAAATGCTTCTATCATTTCTGCATAAATATAACATACCTAGTTATTAACTATTCATCAATTTGGATTTTTAACCAACAGATGCACTATTGATGCTATGTTCTCTGTCGTCATACAAACAAATAGAATGTGGAGTACCACTGGGTTCCGTGTTGGCTTCAATATTATTTTTGCATTTTATCTGTCTGTTTTTTTTTTGCTGATGATACTAGTTTCACTTGGACAAAGCTAGATATTGTAGATCGTCGTAGAACCATGTCTAACGATTTGTTTGCTATTAGATCATAGTGCGACTCTAACCTTCTCTGCTTCAACGCTGCGAAAACTATAGTTCTTTCATATAAAAGTACGTTGCAACCTAATGTACTCAACAACACCACCACTATTGACGTCGTTGATTCTGTAAAGTATTTGGGCCTTATTATAGACTGGAATGGAGTTCGCACATCGATTCTTTATCCAAAAAAATTGAGTTCCGCTTGTTTTGCTGTAAGATCAGTTTCCAAAGAACTTCACTTGTCAACTTTTAGAACAGTCTACTTTGCCCTTTTCGAATCACATCTTCAATACGCCCTTTCATCCTGGAGTGCTGTGCGACTCAATTTGAGCGAATCTTTACATTACAAAAAATATCTATTCGATATTCTCTTAAATCAAAAAATAGAGCCCATTGCCAAGATTTTTTCAAAAAATAGAAAATATTAACATTTCTATTCATATTAGAATCAGTCTGCTTAATCCGCAAACACCTATCCAGTATTTCAGAAACGTCACTGTGTAACTATCCACTTAGAAACGAGGAGCATGATTTGCCAACCCCATCCTCCGAATTAATTAAGAGCTCCATTCTATACAACGCAAAAAAATGCACAATCATCTGCCAGTAGTAATCAAGTCCATAGCATCTCTTCCTAAAATCCGCATAGCTCAAAATCCTATTTATTAGGAAGAGCCTTATATGAAGTAAATGACTTGTTTTTGGCTACCTAATTTTGAGCGTTTCACACACTGGATCATTGTTTATAGTTAATTTATTTATTTTTACATTTATTTTTATTTTGACTTTGTATACAAGAAAATGAATATAATATTATGTATGAAGCTGTTTTTTTTTAATGGGGATACGGCACAAGCACACTCTAAACACTATTATATATTTAATTTTTTTTTTAACTTACTTTATACTATACCTTTTTTTTTTGTATAGCACCTATAAACCAGTCAAAAATTTAGTTTTAATCCATTTCAATCATTCATCATTCATTCTATCAAAATTTTTTAAATTAATATTTCTCCGCATTTTCGACAACATCTATATTTATTAGACCTCAACTTCTAGTAAGTAGTTTAATTTTAATTATTGGTTAATATTTTTATACGGTATCCGCCAAAATAAACAGTACCGAAATCTAGAGCTCTGAGTAATTGCGCACGCAAGTTGCATTTATCATATTTCGCTTATTTTGCATTAGTTATGGGGTTGAGATTAAGTTAAGGTTAAAATCTTTGTCATTATGTTTCTTTCAACTTAAGAAACAGTTTTTTTAGTAGAGCACTATTTCCGGTAATACGGATTTGGAAGGAATAAAGGCTCAGGTTTGAAACAAGTCTCAGGAAAATTTCACCAACCACTCTTAATAAATATTTTCAATGATTTGCAGAATCGTTATGAAGCTCTTTTGCGTGGCTATGATGCATTTTTTGAACATATACGCACGATACAAATAAATAAATGATATAATTTATATATTCGGTACTGTTTATTTTGGCGGATACTGTATTTATTTTAGTACAACTGAAGAAGCTATAACGTATATAATAGCGACAGCTTTTATATCAGAAAAAAGAGTTTCTCTTTTAATTTGGCCGTATCCCCATTAAAAAAAAGAAAATGCTTCATGCATTATATATTTCGAGCCACGAATATAATATTACATATTATATATTTTCAATCTTAAGGCTTTGTCTAGAAATTATGTATTCATTTTTATTTTTTTTTTTTGACAATAAAACCTCATTATTAAACAAAATCCGAAATAAATTATTATTCTAACCAACCGAAAATATATATGCCAAAGTCACCGTTTTGATCGTTGCAGCGACTACCGTAAAGTATAAAATTAACTAATAAACTGGGGAAATTGAGAAAGTTCACTTATAGT